CCTTGTCACTAATTAGAGTTCTGTGCAGGATCTAAGCAAAACATCCATTTATGGTGTGATCCTCTGTGGCCATGAGGTTTTCTCTCAAGAATAGAGGTTAGTTGTACAAATAAATAAGATAACGTTATTATCTTTTTCCGGAAACTATATTTATTACATAAAAGAACTACTAATTACACTAATAGTTAACGGACTAATACGTGGCAAAAAAACAAAAACTATTTCCGATACCGGGAATCGAACCCGAGCCTCCTGGGTGAGAGCCAGGTATCCTAGCCACTAGACCATATCGGATATTGCTATTATGAACGAAATAATGGTATATAAATTACTTGAATTGGCACAATGGTGTAGAAATTTAGTTTTAATTAAATCGGTAAATATCTAAATAGGTACAATAAAACAAAATTCTGTGTAAATAGTACAACTGGAATGGCAAATAACTACCTATCTCGTGCTGATTTTGTGACTAGCGCCATCTTTTAGCCTATTGTAGAACTAAATCAGCTAGCAGAGTAGTGAAGAGGTTGCGTTATTGTGTGGACATGGTTATACATGGTTGGATTTGGATTAGAGCCAGTGAAGAAAATAGTTCTTGTATGATATGGAAGATGGCGCTTTAGATAAAAAACTTAAGTCGGTGAAATAGTTTGAGTTCTGAATGAACCTGTATTGCCGTGAACTAATTTCTTCGTTACTGCTTAAAATCGCGAAATATGGTACTGTATTATGTTCCATAAGTAGACATTCTGTTCTGCCATATTAAACCGCGGCTAAGTGACAAGGTGGTCAAATATCCGTTTTAAAAAACGAAAAATAGAGCTCAGAATTCACTGTTTGAAAACAAGGAATTCTTAGTGAACGAGCAGTAGCATAGGAAATGACGTTTATAATTTGTAAATTTATTTACAGGATTTGTATAATTTCATGATAATATTTTGACTTTGATTTTGCAATATCGGCGTAATTGACATTTTTTTAGGTGACAATAAAACTTTAATGCAAATGCGTTAATTAGATGAGGAGCAGCATACGTATAAGCATAAATAATATGACAAGTGCATTAACAAGACGACTCACTATTTTCTTTTATTGTACTCGAAAGATAAAGCGATAAGACGAATCGTTGCAAATATTAATATTGCGTCAATTGTACGTATGATGAATTTATAATTTGGATTTGATTTTGATGGATTGAATTTGGCCAAAGACAGAAGGACCGGCAAGACCAAGAATAGCATGCAGTGAACAAATAAAGAAGCATATCAAAGTGGAAACAGCTATAGGACCTTGAGGAATGGAGGAGACTACACCGACAAGAGCAAGGCTCATAATAACACACACTCAACACACTCAACACAGCCCCGCACTAGGGAAACCCTGTGTCGCGGGTGCCATGGACACACATATAGACAACCACAAATTACACCCAAACTCACGAGAGAAACAAATGTATGTCATACAAATATTTCTCCCGGCCCGGGAAACGAACCTGGGACCTCTGCGTGGCAGTCCGGCATGGTAACCGTTCGGCCACAGAGGCAGAGGCAGTCGGCATAATAGATACTCGACCAAAATGTGCCTTGGACTTTTTTACATTATTTTTCGATTTGAGGGGCATACATAGTTCTTCTTGTCGTGTTGATGGCATAGTGAAAGTTGTTTATATTGTTGAACATAATCACCCCCTAAAGCATGGTGAAATTGAAAATATTAGTATCATTGCAAGCATTAATAAACACAAATTTAGACAATGAAACTACAACCAATTCCATTAAAGCAATTTATTGACTGATGCAGATGCAAAAATACATAAATTATCAACTACATACAAATAAATATCAACTACACAATCTTATCATCTAATAATAAAGACAGACGTAAAATAAATAATAATAACGTGAACTATGTTATAAAAACATAAAAGATCTTATATCAGGCACAACCAAATTATCCAACACGTAAAACTTCATAATGTAATATAGTCATTGCCAGGGATTGTCCTCTATAACTTCACTAACTGTATCTTTAAATTTTTTCATCTTCTTCGTCATTCTACTTTCTACAGCTCCCTCTACTATTTCTCCTTTATTAAAATCATCAGCTGTTATTATGGGGCTTGGTTCAAAATCTTCCGCAACTATTGGTTTGAAACCATCTTCTTTGATAACGGTCGGTATATTACTTTGGAGTTCTTTAGGTGCTTTTGCTTTAGGCATTTGCATCCAAGGTTGATAAACATATTTTATACCATTTATAACTTTGTATTTAGGATATTTTGGTTGATATTTTTTATAATTATTCAAGCCAAGTAAATTGTTAATCCAGTACATGTAAGCGTTTTGAAGTATGTCGACTATACCGCGTTTCTTTCTTGTTTTCGGAATTTGGATAGTACTTTTTGTAATACCGTTTTTTGGATTTTCTATTTTTGGGTAAGTTATATCAATAAAGTCATCGTCAAATCTCTCTAAAGGTAAATTGTAAGCTGTATCCATTTCATAGGAGTCTGGACCATCATCAATAGATACACTGCTGTCATATATTGGTACTTGTCTATTTATTCTGAGATGAGACGCTATATTGTTCATTTCATTGTTTTTCAGGTTTTTGAAAAGGGGATGTGGTGTTCCTTTCAAGACAGTATGAAATTTGCTGTAAGCATTGTTATTGTAAGGATCATTTCTAAAATCACTAAATTCTTCAATCTCTTCTGAACTATTGTCATTATCTTTTGTAACATCTCTAATATATGAAATCTTATTATCTGCTTCTCTTTTGCTTCTTGATTTTTCTTTTGCATCTTGATTGAGTTTAATAACTTCATCGTTTAATTTCTTCACTATGGAAAAAGGTTTTTTCATGTTAATATTATTGTTGTACCTGATGATGGGCGTAACGTAAGATACAATGGGTTTATTGGCAATTCTATCTTGGAAGTCCTCAGTATTGTATTGTAAAGTTTCCGGGTTTCTTTCTATGATTGATCGGCTTTGCCATTGTCCGTTCGCGTCGTAGCCACCTCCGCCACCGCCGCCGCCGCCGCCGTAGTCACCACCTTGAATAAATTACATCAAAGCTGTATCGACCATAACGCCCTGTACGATACCTGCAGTTCACTTCCAAGTAAAAAGTGTTGGACCATAAAATATTATGCTGATCCATTGACAAAATGTTTTCAAAGACCTTTAAATAAAATTCTGCACATTATAGGTCATAACTGTGAAATAAGTGTAACACGTGTAAGTAAATCATTAGCCTTTTTAAGAGACGTATTTATTCATTATAAACCAAGTAAAATGTCAATTGCAAACACAAAAATTGTTGTAAAATGTTCATTGTTATCAGTGTTCTTAGTTTTTGATTATTTAGCTATAGGAACGTATTGTTTTGTTGAAAAAAAAAATCTCGATTAGGCCAATCAAGAATCTGATAGAAATTGGTTTACAAAGATCATAATACTTTCACTGCTCAAAAAGGCAGGTGAATGTTTACTTACACCTTTATTATTATACTGGGAATATACCTGCTGGCATCCACGCCCCGCCGCCGCCGCCACCTGCTGCCCAACCCTGTAAATATGTATTATCAAATAATCCTTTATACGAACAGTCGAGTCTGTATTTTGTATATTTAATGGAGTTTAAAATATTCCCTTCACAAACTTCTTTCCCTCTAAGCTAACTAAGCCTTGTTAATTTTCTTTCAAATGTTTTTGATCTTGTATTTGATAAGGAGTTTGCTTACTTATTTGTTTTTCTACGGTTATAGAAATGTATTTTTAAGAATGCCTAAATATGTAAGTATCACCACATTTCTTTATTTGACTTTGAGAACCATTAATATAGTGGAAAACTAGTATTGTATTCCCCAATGGGTAATGGTAAAACAACTTCGTGACCTCTGGATTGGTTGTCTTGCAATGTTTATACGATTACTTTGCTATAATTTCTTAGACAGGCGTTTATGAGAACTTACACCGTCCCCGCCGCTACCGCCGCCTCCGCCTCCTTTCTTTTCCAAAATTTTCATTAATAGCATCATCTGCAAACATCATAAGACTTGTAGCGGGTAGTTGAAACTGCATAAATTGTAAATTTCAAAATTATTTTGATAAAAATGCTAATGGCATATACTTGCAGAGTATTACTGAGTTTAGCATAATGAATCGTTTTTGTAAATAACATTAGATAAAAGTCAAATTGTAGTAGTTGAAAGAATATCTTTCTACATTATTCTCGTCGAAGGCTACAGTAATCGTTTCGTTCAGCAAATAGATTTAATTTACCTTGGAAACCATGAAGGACATCATGCTGAACATCATCCCCTTGAATGACATCATTCCCATCATGCCCATCATAGCTGGCACCATCTGCAACCGACCCAACCTATCAACTTAGACGAATAATTTAATCAGTCCTGTGCGTGACAGTGTCATAGATGGCCTCTTAGTAAGTCCCTTCGACTTCCGAGACTCCTAGTGTGTACAGACCTTTTCACAAATTTGAGTATGGGAAACTGATTGATGATTTGAACTTAGTATCATTTGTTTATCACAAACACTGGAATTACGGTGTTGTATATGATAAACCAGTTGATAAGAGACATAAATGCATAAAGGAAATGATATAAAGCTTTTGATTGACCATCATAAACTTCATCTTCATGCACATCATCGCCATCATCATCATTTTCTTTTTGCCGCCATCGTCGCCGCCGTGGCCATGTCCACCTCCGCCGCCGCCGCCGCCGCCACCTTTGCGCTTCCGACCAACAAAGTCTTCCACTAAAACATTACAGCAGATATCCCATAAGTTATTTGACAATTCCTAAGTGGTATTCTTCTTCTGTCGTTATACATTTTCTAATAAATTGAACAATTTTACATTCAGTTCCATACTTTAAGGCACCATTTTAATAAACAAACTTTTCGAAACGCTTTGATCTAAATGTACCAAGTACCTAGTATTATCTTGGCAATTTCATTAGACTGATACTTATAGAAGCTACAAGAAATATTCTTGTGTAACGTATTTGTAGTTTTAGCTACAATTGTATGATTAAAGATAGGACAATACTTACCTGTATCAGGAACAGCAATATCCTTTCCCAAAGCGTTAAACTTCAGTATGTGATTATTGAAAAACTTATCAACTGCTCGATCTATTACGTAAGATAGATCTTCCGGATTCTTGTTCTTTGCTGCTTCTTCATCAATACTGTCTTTGAGACTGCCATTTTCTGTTTCATTTGTTTTAACTAAAATAAATCAAAATATTTTTCAAGTGTTTAGTGTTTTTTTATCTTTTATTTAAGCGAACAGGGCTTTCATCCCTTTACGACAATGTGTTTCTTTAAGTAACTTAATTTATTGGCTAGGATGCTGTGGAGATTACAAGTACGGCATTACACGTGTAAACATCTCTTCGTCAGATTTTAGCGTCTAATTCTATCAGTCTTTGGTCCGTTCCGCTCCGATCTGGGTATATTCCACGAAGCCGTGTTATGTATCTGTTTAGTGTTTTAGTTAAGTAAGATAATATCAATAGACTTATTTGGTTACATACAGGTTTGTGTAATGAACATTATACTGTATCATCTGGGCATTTTGGTACCCGCAAACTTTCTTTGTCTGTAAACTATAAATGACAATTGAATTGTTTCTTTAATAATCTTAGTGTTTATTCAGTATTGGTAAAGTATTCATGTTTAAATAAAAAAAATCTATACTTACCGAATTTCACATAGTCGCCAATAACGGAAACTTCATTGAGTTTATTAAGCTCTTTCAAATACAACAATGTTTTCCTTTGCAAACAAGAATACGACAAATATAGAAAACATTCTGAATAAACACCGTCGAAAATACTATTTACATTTTCCTCCTGATCTTCTAAATCACTCTCTACTATATTGTTAGTAGTATCATTATCTAGAACTAAAGAATCCACAACGACAACGCACAGTAAAACGACAATAAATTTACGAGACATCTTGCTTCAAGTATAGGCGACAAATGAAAATGCAAACACTGGGTTAGGGTTATTTATTTTCTTATTAACAGGATTTAAGGTCAAAAGTCACGGTGCACTTGAGTGAAAACGTATCATTTGTCGTTAAAGAAGATAATAGGTTGCGGTCGCCCAAGGGAGTATCCTAGGCCCTAAAGTATTTATATTGCATAGTAATTTTAGTTAAGAAGCATTATTGTTAATAAAGTTGAGATTCTTAAACTGTTTTCATTTTGATGATTGTCTATGTAGTTGATTTTCACGGATGTTTGTCGCATAGGATTACGAATAGTTTTAGAACTTATTTTCTTTAATTTTCCTCAACAGAAACAAATAGATCTAGTTATTAGGTTTTCGCGATTGTTACACATTGAAAATGAAACTATTTTTTAAGGTCTAAATCCGTTCCGGGTCCTTTATAGGTCTTATGGTGACGGCTAACAACTCAAATTGCCAGCAAAAATAGCTTAAAAGAGGTAGGTGACTAGAACAAACAGACTAGTACTCTGCTGCTAGATTTATAATCCAAATTCACCATGGAAATCTAAATCTTATGTCGAACGCACAAATTCACATTGCAAATGCCACAGTGTGCAGCTGTATGCTACCCTTTCAAATCGATATTAAGAAATAGGAAATGTAATGTTTTTTTCATATCTGAATCGCGTATATTTGTATGTAGCGTAAATTGCGGAAAAATAGTGTTCTTTGGAAAATTAATAATTATAACTTTTTGATTAAAAAAAAAATCGACTTAAAAAATCGACATCAAAAATTTGCTTAACGGCTTATTTTATTGAAATTACATCTATTTGCCAAGTTTTATTGCAGTCGGTTAACGGAAAGTGCGCGAAACCGGATTCATCCCTTAGTTTGCCACCCTTAGAGTTGAAATATTTTGTTCAAATTTAAACGGGACGACTACAGAGGTACCCTCTTTTGAAAAAAAAAAAGAATCATCAAAATCGGTGAACATACATACAAAAAAAATACAGTCGAATAGAGAACCTTTTTGGAGTCAGTTAAAAAAAATAAAAAAAACCATTATTGAAATGGGCTGTCCTACTGAATTTCACCCGAAAGCCTTAGAACACACGAAAGTGCTAGTAATTGGAACCCTTGGTAAAATAAAGCCACATTTGATCAGATATCAGAAGTGTAGTTATCACATTAAAATCATAAAAATAATACGTACTACTTACATGAAACAAATTATGTATATGTGAAATTTTATAACTCTCTTATCGACAAAGTTCGTAGAATCTTTAAACAACACTCTTGATAAATTGTAATTTTGCAGGTCTGCCTGCCTAATTGCATCACGGGTGCGAATTTGGAAAAAAATATTCTAGTGAGTTTGTTTATATTATAATATTATAGTTTATATATTTTTATAATAAAGATGTAGGTAGGTAATTGTAATATAACTTTTTGAAACGGGTGAAACGACAATAATTTGAGATACTCTAATCTGTATAAAAACTTATGGAATTCATTCAAAATTAGTCGAGTTTTTTTAGTTACACATCTAAGTCACATATCCAAGAATGCCAACTTGTGAAATGGGGAAAAGAAAATTGGAATTAAGAAAAAAAAATCGTGGGTTTCACTCATTCGCTTTGGCAATCAGAGTTGACGATGATTGGTGGAAAAAGGTAATCGAAAAGATTTGTATATATAGTCTTTATTGCGTTCAGCTACAACGTTTGGTAGGCCTACAGACCCATATACAGCGCTACAGACCTGGGGAAAATATTTGTATAAAAAAATGTTACTTCTTGTTATTAGTCTTTGCTGTATTTAGTTAGCTGTGGTAGCCTAATGGTTTGACCTACCACCTCGCCAAGCAGAAGGTTGTCGGTTCGAATTAGGGCTTGCATCTCTCAGTTTTTCGGGGAAGGAAAAATCGCGAGGGAACCTGCACACATCTGCATAGTAATGTAATGATGTGTGTGAAGTTCCCAATCCGTATTGGGCATATATACCATAGGAACTACAGCCCAAGGTCTTCATTGTGTGGGGTGGCCTGTGCCCAGAGGTGGGACTCGTATTATTATTATTACTTCTTCTTAAATATATTATATGTATAATACGTACAATTTGTCGTACGAAATTGCTGAGCATTTTTTGCGCAAGCGACAACTGTCACTCTAAAGTCGTATAGTAGGCGTTAGCTAGATCTTTCGCTTTCTCCATTCACGTCAATCTTTACGTAGAAGTTTGTTATTAGTTTTTTTATTATTTGTTTTAAAGTATTGGGCCAACTAGTTCATGGGCGTAATGAGGCCTTAATTTTTTTTCTTATCTGCTTACAATTTTGTACCCATGGTGTAATAAAGCCTCTTGTGGTCATACGTCAAAAGCGCTTTTGTCACAAGAAAGTCGTAAAAATAATATGAACTACATGAAACAAATTATGTATTTGAGTAATTTTAGAAAACTCCTATTTATGCATAAAAAAGTTACCGTCTAATTTCGTTTGTGGAATCTTTAAACTTCTTCTGAAAAGTGGTTGGCCTTATTACAAAAAATACAATATACCCCCCGGATGGACACAGTGGCAGTGCCCCTCAGATCTTTGTGATTTGAAACTCTGAGTGGCATTGCAACTGTTATGGACAGGTGTGTAGCTTACCATCAAGCGCACGACTTGTTCGTCCTGTCACTTACTATCATAAAAAAATAGGCGCCTTGTCGTCGAGTTGGGGATACCAGCCCGTTGCACCAAGTACCAAGTACTATCATAAAGAAAAATCCTTATTGTATGACCAAGGGCACATTTTTTGTTATAACTTTATAACAAAATGAGGTAATAAAACCACAGAGTTGCTCACTGCAATCATTTTATAAAAACATAATAAATATATACAATTAGAACAAATAGAAAGAACAGACATTATGACAGGTATATAACATAAATTGTACAATAAATAGTTAATATTTGGCATACAGACGTGAATAATATTTACATAAAGAAGGCTAGAATATCACAGTTAATATACTGCTTAGAATAGTATACATAATGTATTATATGAAATTAATATAACATGACACAAAAATAATAAGAAATATTATTAGAATAAAAGCAAAATATGAAAAAAATATAATATATAGATATAAATGCATGACTGGAAAAATGAATATAAATAATAAAAGAAAGATAAATAAAGTAAAATAAATACACGCTTACATAGTAATAAAAAAATAAAGAAAACAATGGAAAATAAAAAGCGTTAATGAAAATGCGGTGGGAAGACTTCAATAAATAAAAATATATACAAATAAATAATATATAAAAAGAAAAGGATAATAAACTTTAACACGCCTTCAGAAAGCTGCAATAAATAATCCACGAACAACAACAAAGACATAAATAACTTATTATTAAAAATAATTTAACTAACTAACTTTAGTAAACCTTTTTGTAGGATAATTTTTTATCAATAAATAGTTGACTTTTTAAAATCAAAGCCATTCGAAAATCTAACATCGAAAACAGTACAAGGTCCCTCTATTGTAATACACGTAGTACCAATGCGTGGGGGCTTCCTAGCTAGTGGTATCATAAGGCATGTAGCTGTTATAGCCGTTAGCATCGTAAGCTCTTCTGTAGCCACCATGATGTCCGTGGTCGTGTTCGTGATGCTCTTCATGACTGTGGGAGTGGTGATGAGATACTTCTGGCTTCGTGATGATCTCATATGTGGTGTGTCCTCCACCTCCTTGACCTTTGAGACCGACGAGAGCTGAGAGGAGTAGGGACATGAGCGCTGTCATGAGAGCTTTACCGGCTAGGAGAGCTAATGCTCCTAGAGCTGCAGCTGCCATAGCACCTATAAAATATAAATTTAAAAAATGAATAAATAGACGATATTCGGAGTATTGCTTAAAGATGCTGGTTGGTTAAATAACGTGAGTTTTAAACAAATTGGTAAAACTTGTTACAAATTGGGTGATTTTAATTTTTGTAAAAGAGAAAAATGATCAAATTTGTTTTCATTGTTATGTGTTTTATTAAATATTGTTGAAACTAAGTAATGGAGAAGAAAAAAATATTATGTCTTATTATTCTCGCTTATTAAAAATCTAAATTCTTCTTAGACTTTGTCATAAATCAGGCAAAAATTGAGATAAAGTCAAGTACACGCACCTTTCATCATCATAGCTGCAGCCAACAAACCACCACCGCCACCCTTGCCGCCTCCAAAACCGCCGCCGCCGCCGCCGCCGCCACCCTTCCTCCCAACCACTTCATTGTCACCCTTAGCTATGTCCATGGCCCTTTTAGACGTATCTGGGTCCAACAGTCTGTATCTTATAGAATGTCCGTCAAGATAATCCTTAAGACGATACAAAAGGAATCTATTTAGCTTCTCATCGGGCTTCCCTGGAAACTGTCTCGATAACTCCGCCGCCAGTTCTTCAGGTGTCGTGTTTGTCGTTTGATTCTCCTTTATAATGCTCAGTCCCGGCAAAATTGGTAACTCATTGCGAGAGTTTAAATCTTCCAAAAAGGACAGAACGTGTATCTTCAGACACTTAGCACTGAGACTTCCACTACATTCTTTGTGAAGTGTCCTTCCAGTCCGGTCTCCAGTTGTATTTTTGACTCCATCGTTTATGTTGTTAGGTTGCGGTCCATCGATGACAGCTTTAGAACTGCTTGCACACACAATCACTAACAGTACCACTGCATATTTGCTATACATTTTGTCACTTTTATCACTATTTCTGGTTTAAACTTAAGCTGGAGTCATTTCGTTAGACGCTGCGGGACTAATGATTTGACAGCGGCCGCAATTTATTTTATACCGCTGAGTAAAGACTAAAAAGTTGACTACGACCGCTGCAAAGCAAAAAAAAAAAGAAGTTCGATTGCTTTGGAAGTTATTTTGTTCGTAGCGAAACCGAGTCACTTTCGATCAATAAATAAAGCAATGCGATGCATGGTGGTAATGGAAAAGTGGAACCAAAAGTGGCGATATCTTAAAATTGTAGACAATTGGGTAAAAAAGTGGACTATAAAATATGCCGATGGTTACTGGTTCTCCGAAGAACATTTTGGAGAAAAGTTTTATCTGTTCTAGAAAAACTGCAAGAGATACTTAATTCGGAGTACAAAAGTGAACCTTGGCCAACTTACGTTCCTCTTTTGGGCACGGACCTTCTTTAAGGAGAGTGCGGACTTCACACGTTTGCCACCAATTTCGACGAGTCGGTTAAGTCACGAATTCTTTTTTCACCGTTAGCGAGAGGTATTGCTTAACTTAGTATTTGAAGTTAAAGCACTGTGAACTGTCGATCTCTCAATAGATGATCAAACGTTATCCTATTAGTCATTGGTATTGGTTCTTGACCAAACCAAAAACAGAAATTTGACGTACATAGTGTTAATAAAAACATCCTTAATTTTCTCTGATCGACTTTCGTATCGAAACATTTAATAATTAGTTGTCAAAATTAAGGTACAAAATGATTACGCTTATACTGTATATCCGACATTTCAACAAGACAAACTCGTTCATTAAAGAAACTAGAACACTATAGAAGAAAAAAAAGACATTTTTTACCTTCACTTCACCTACTTTAGTATGTCATGTAAATATAATTAAATGTGGTTTTATCAATCAGCTTAATTCAAGAAATAGGCTGTGTCTAATAACAAAATTAGTGAAGATACAGTATAACTTAATGATGCGGTAAAAACCTTTATTGTTATCTGATAGAGATATACAGAAAGAATGAATTAAAAACGGATGGAAAATGAGAATTTAAAATACCATTCTATCTGTTATTGTCTGGGAAACCCAAGTTACCTTGCCCAGCGCATTAGCATAGCTATACAAAGGGGATCATTGTCAGCTACTTGGGCACCTTGGGGCGGGGACCCAATTTTATTCATAAAATTTAATCCTAGTTTTAGTCTTTAATATTTAAGCTTCCTTTTCCATATTTTCAGATATATATCGTACACTAAAATACTTTTAAAATCGGCCAGGGTGTTTAGAAACTCGAGGTAGGGGATGATCTTTGTTAATAAATATTTGTTTATGCTTACTTCAAAATAATAAAATATTCTTTCACGGAATCTTTAAATGTCTCCTCTGAATTGTTGAGATTTTGCAGATGTGGCCTTAAGACATTAAGGGTACGAACTCTTCTGCATTGTAAAATTCGCTATACATTCAAAGGGCGTCCGGTTCGTTCGTTCGTTCGGGTTTGTTGTTTCAAGTTCCGCACAGTGAGCAAATGTTTAAACTTCCCCCGCAATAAGTATTAGTGTATTTCAGTACCTTCACTGAAATGTTTTACATTGACAATGCTTTGAAAGACCTTATTGATATTTTATGACATAATGAGATAGAAAAATTTAATCCAGTTAGAAACTCAAGGTCAAAGTCAAAATAAAGGTAGAACTCCTTGTGAAAGAGTTCGTCCAAGGAATTACTGCCGCCATACGTGTTTCCGTCGGCAAGCAGTAATGTTTTTTATAGCCCCGCACTAGGGAAACCCTGTATCGCGAAAGCCATGGACACACGCATAGACAACCACAAATTACGCCCAAACTGGCGAGAGAAATTAATAAATATTTGTCAGGAATCGAACCCGGGACCTCTGCGTGGCGGTCCAGCATGCTACACCTTACGGACACGGAAGCAGTTAAAACGACTGGATTCTGGTTTTTAAGGGTAAGGGATTTGTGAAATTATAGGTATTTGAAAGTCAGGGTGACGGGTGTGGGGCAGTGACCATAAATTGAAAGCTCTTATCGACACTGCAACTGCATGAGAAGGCGTATCGCTTACCGTCATGTGCACTAGTTCATCCCATCACTTGGTGTAAGTAACTGATAAAACCTCCCTCCTAATCATGATCTACCTTGGCAAACTTGGAAGTCCCTAAATAGGTTGCGGACCCAAGTCGGCCGAAGCAAGGAGTGCATGCACGGATGGAGTTACAGCTCGGAGAGCGCATGTCGGTGTGGTGTCTGTCCCCTGATAATGACATATCTTTTTGTCCTGCCCTGCGTGTCCATACACCTGCGTATGCGAGGACCTGTACGACCCCACTGATACTCGTACGTAAGTACTCATCCTCACAAATATAAACGTCAGAGTCGACACGCCAAGAAATTTGACAAATAAAAATAAAATCTCGAAGCTGATGTATCATGTTCCATTGAATGCTCTTCACCAATACTAATAAATACAATAAGAGTTTGAAGAAGTGTTTGAAGACCCGTTATCTCACGACACGACTCGATTGCCTACAGGTGATGTGATGTGATTTCGAGTTGCTTTGGAGTTGTGTGTATTTTCTGTAAGATGTGAACATTATTGCATTCCGGTTTGGAAGGGTAAGGGGTGCTGGTGGAATTACAAGCACATAGGACTTGCCAACTTATACCTCAGGTTGACGGGAGCAGCGGCAGTGCCCCTCCGATCTTTGCGATTTAAAGCTCTGAGTGCCACTGCATCTGTTATGGACAGGCGTGGAGCTCACCATCAGGCGCACGACTTGTTCGTCCCGTAACTTGATATTATAAAAAAAAAGTTTTTATACAAAAACCAACCTCAACTGCCTTGGTGGCTGAATGATTATCATGCTGGACTACCACGCAGAGGTCCTGGGTTCGATTCCCGGGCCGGTAGAAATATTTGTATGGTCTACATTTATTACTCTCACGAGTTTGGGTCTAATTTGTGGTTGTTTATGTGTGCGTCAATGGCACCTGCGATACAAGGTTTCTCTAGTGCGGGGCTAAAACTTCATATTTTAAAAATATCTTAATATAATATTATTTGATATAAAAAAAAAAAATAGTTTAAAAAGTGGGAGAAATCCGATGAACCGAATTCATCCCCTAATTTGCCATTTGAGGTGGAATATTTTTTACAATTTTGAATATGACTATTACAGAGGTAAGAGGAGGTATCCCCTTTCTAACAATAAAAGAATCATCGAAATTGGTTGACAAATGTCAGTGTAACCCCGTAACATACACGCAAAAAAATTTACAGTCGATTGGAAAACATCATCTTTTTTTGAAGTCGGTTAATAAAAGACGTGTCAGACGTTTTGCATTGTTTTATTTTGATGTACAACCACTGCCATGGTAAATATCATACTATTTAATGTAACTAAACACGCACTATGTTTTCAATGATCTCCAATAGAACAACTGACGCCTTTCTCCGACTTATCAAAAAATAAGCAAAACTTTGCGGTTGCTCGATAACATCAGAAAGTTGGTTTTTTGTAGTACAAAATTGAACAGAAATAAAAAAAAGGTAGGTTTACAATTTTCTCCGAAAACATAATCCTATCTGATATGGGAGCGATTAATAATATACCAGTTCTCTTATTACGAATCAAACACTTTAAATCCACATCATAATAATTTATTATCATTGCGTGCAACATCTTATAACAAAAATAGGTACAAGGCATAGATGGAACAAAAACTAAAATACAAAAATATATAAGTATAAATACATTAGTAACATTACAAATAAAAATATACATGCATAAATTATAAGGAAAATATAGGAGTTTATACATAGGTCTATTATGTATATAAGTAAGTTGCAACAGTCTTCATAACAATATACCTATATATAGCGACAAATATACATAACGTAAATATGAAAAAAATAATTAAAATGAAATATTAAATATATTTGAATGAAGCTACTATCATTACATAATATGTACATAAATAATTAAACGCAGACATTAATGTCTGTGAAACAGCCATACATAATTAAAATATCAATGGAAAGACTGTACAATATCAAGTTATAAAAATAATTATACATAGGATATATAAGTAAATAGAAATTAAAATAGAAAATAAAACAAAAGTTAAATAAATCCATTCAAAACAAATACTGTACATATATAAATAAAAAATTAAGAACATATAGAATAAATAAATTAAAAATAATTATTTATGAAAAACGTTAATAAAAATTAAATATTCATATATATATACAACTAAGTAATAAATCACATTGAATACATAAAGTAAATAAAACAAATGACTATAAAACGGAAAAGATAAAAATAAAAATAGAAATTGAAATAAAAAAAATAACAGCAAGAATTAAAGAAAACAAATAGAAATAAACGAAAATCGTGATTCTTAAATCTAATAATAAATAGTTGAAATAAATTATCCGTTGGTACCTGAGTATCTAGCTTATACAGATATTGAAAGCTTTGGCATCAGATCTTGCTACATCATTAAACATGAAAATGCAAAAACTTGATTCACACAAACCATAACACTTGTTGGGAATGTCAAAGCTGAAACTTACTATACTCATTTAATCTTTTATTCTATTTGGCAATTGACCCTATTTGTTAGTTTCATCTCCCAAAGAATAAACATAATTAATTGTTTTTTGAAAAATAGATGTTACGAGTATGTGTACGTATAAATTTAGCTCAAATTAATTCCCTTTTTGACATTGTATTAACGTCTCCTAACATTCAAATTCCTGCCGTACCCAGAATGTCCATAACCACCTACATCTTCATGAGCCGTGGAGTGGCTGTGACTGTGGCTGTAGATGGGTTTCGAGACGATTTCGTATGTGGTGGACTTGCCTCCGCTGGAGAGGGATTTGACACCAATGATGGCGGAGAGGAGAAGTGACATCATGGCCGTCATCATGGCTTTGCCTGCGAGCATTGCCAGTCCGCCGAGACCGACTGACATGAGGGTACCTGTGACAAATAAAAAAGGTAAGTATGGGTGTATTGGACATTGGGTCCACAGCCTCTGACCAAAATGTTATCAATGTGTAAGGCTGATACTTTGGGTGAAGTCTGCCAGCGCCTAGGTCTTCTATTTATTTCAGTTATGGTTCAGATGTATCGTTAAAGGTAATTGTACAGATTTGAGGATGAGGTGATAAATACAAATATATTGACTAATCTACGAGACAAGCGGTGCTTCATCACACGTGATTACAATAAATATTACTCCGATCGACTAAATTATGTCTGCCAAGCATGACGTACGACAAATGCCTTTCTATTAAATAACAGAAAAGAAATATAAACATTTTGCTACGTATGATATACTGTAAGGTAAAGAATACAAGGTTCTTAGAAACTACAACATTACAAATAATTATATATTCACAAAATTGTCAAATAACAAGCAAAATAATTATAAAAAAGAAAGGAGAAACGGATTTAACTATCAATTACTCTATATGACAGTTTTTATAAACATACAACAAACGTTCACCATAATTACAATGCTCTGTTTGTCAATACTCTTCCATTAGTCCTAACTTTTCTTTGTGACACTTCTTTTGCTACATTTTTCTATGTCACATTTTTCCATGTTGGTTTCTATGTCATCAGTGCTGAGGCTATTTTTCTCTTTGATGTTTATTATTTAGGTTGTACTAGAAATTGGCAGTATTATTTTTGTCATATTTTTTTCCGCAAAAGTTTGCATCGGCAAGAACATGCAGTGGCAGTAGTGTTCCTTGTGAAAGAGTTTGTCCAGGAACCTTACCTATATCTGCCACTAAGCAGCATGTGAGCATTACTGCGTTTCGGTTTCGAAGGGTAAGGGTGCTGGTGGAATTACAGTTTTATGGGACTTGTCAACTTATGTCTCAGGGGTCGAGCGCAGAGGCAGTGCCCCTCAGATCTTTTGTCGCAATTAAATTTTTTTGTTATACCATATATATACTTCTGTCAGTTGCTATTGTATCACATATATATTTTTTTTCATAATCATCAGTTATGTTACCATTACCTTTTGAGCTATATAGTTTTTACTGCGTTTTTGTTCTTATTTTTAAACGTATTCTAGGTGCTTGGCGTTCTATTTTTGTACGGTTCTTTGAAATCGGCAACGAATTTTTACAATATTTCACTGACTCCAGTAAATATACCCTTCCCAGTTCACTAGCATCAGTTGCTAATTTTTTCGAAAGGAGCGTTGTTTGTACTCGACCTCAAGTTAAATAAACTATTTCCAAAATATTTAACATAATTATATAAATGACAAACTTGGAAATTGATTTTGTGATACTTACACATTTTAATAATAATAACCTTTATATCAAAATTTACTTTCGAAAATCGTCATTAGAGATTATATACATGCCATGTCATCTGTCCTGTCATACCTCTTTCGCATTCTCGATTGGCTTATTTTGAGTAATTTTGATTTCACTAGTCTTTAGAACATTCTTAATCTGTTGAGATATGTACGCCGAAGTTGCTCATATCTCCTTACAATTCCTCATCCTGTCTTAGGAGTTAACTACATAAATGCGCAACGCTCTGATTTTTACAGTGTTTACTCTACTTCATGCTTCTTCGGTCATGTCTAACATTCACTGCCGTACATTAAGGTTGGAGCCAGTGCGTCCTATTCTACAGCTAAATTTGTCTTTTTTGATACGTTTCAGCTAACCCGCAGAGCTCCATTTACGTACAAGAGTTCTTTCATTTGTTCTAGCCTTTATTATTTCGCATTCTGCTACACTTTCATCCCCTTCAATCTCCATTACTTTCGTCTTACATATATTCAATTTCTTACATTTAAACGGTAACTAACGTAATTTGGGTAATACCTATATATTGACTCCTATGATGTCGACTCCACCCAAAAAATATTGCTTTCAAGCAAAATGAAAACAACACGGGTGAATTCAACACTAAGAGGAACCGACGCAGTCGATAATGATTGTATGTGGTCAAGATAGTAATTTAATAGCCAAAAAAGGTCGTAAATATTGTTGCGGTAAATCGGTGAGCTAGTTTTATTTATCATTTTGATAAAATAAAAAAAAATACAAACATTTTTGAAATAGTTCAAAAGTGTTTTGATGTGTAAATTTATAAACCGTTTGGTTTAAATAGGCAGAGTCCATTTAGCGTTACCAGTAGAACTAAATGGAGTAAAATCGGCTTTAGCATCTTATCGATGGTTGTGTGTAAGATAGTTTCCATTTTGAAAAAATAATCTGAAAAACTTTCAAATAATTTAGTTATAGAACGCGGCAATTATGGTTTTCATTTAAATGTCCACGTTTTTTGCCTAGTTTGTTTTTGATAGTACAATTCTTTTTTTATTTTCTATCTGTAAACATTAATAATAGCTGATTATTCTCTATCTCTCTTTATAATAAACATGAACGAGATAAATGCTTTTACTAACGATACTCATTACCTTTGACATAACCTTAAAAGTCAGCAGTACGAGACAGGGTTTACTATTCTTATTCAAGAGCAAGTGATTACTGATTATGATTAGAATCACATTAAACAAGTTTTAATGAATTTTTGATTACTATTACATTGTCTACTGTATGCTTTCTCAAAATTCGCGTTACGCTTTTTGATTTTTAATTTCTCCTCTGTTGAAAATTACCTGCTCTACTTTTATTCAAAACGTATTTAAGTAGTAAACGTAGAAAAAGATGTTACGTTTCAATTATTTTTTAATCCTTTTGCAAATTCGTAACATTGTATGTGTTCAGAAATTATATCACATTTCCAATGATATATGAACCGTCATATAGGTATATGAACCGGCAATCAATAATATCAATAAAAATATATGTGTAAAATATCTTAAATATCTTTAATAAGGAGTCCCTTTTGCGTCATCTCTTTTTTTCGACATTCAGAACTTGTTTGGTAAAAACAATAGGACAATTGTAAAGTATGAAAAAATTGTTGCACCTGTCGATAAAAATGAACATCAATCACGACTTCTAAATCGGTCGCACGACTTTGCTATACATACCTTTCATCATCATAGCCATGGCAATGAGGCCACCCATGCCTCCTTTCTTTCCGCCACCGAAACCGCCGGGTTTGGACCTAGCCTCGCCAATCAGGGCCCTTGCTTCTTCAGTGGTACTTTCATCCAAAAGCCTGAGTTTCACCGAATGTGTGTCCAAATAAGTCCCAAGCCTGTACAGTAGGTACTTGTCCAATCTCTCATCAGGTTTCGAAGGTAGAGCTCTCGCCAACTCAGCAGCGAATTCTTCAGCTTTACTTCCATTTTCTTTACTAGGTTCCTTGACCAGACTTAGTCCAGGTAAAAGGTTCACTTCTTCTTTGGAGTTGAGCTTTTCAAGAACAGAAAGAGCTTCGATCTTCAAGCATGTAGGGCTAAAGATTCCGTTGGCACAATCTTTGCCCATAGCTCGTGCTGCTGTTTCAACCGTTGGCACTGGCTCTACATTTTCGTTTAACTCCGGATTAGGAAGAGCTGATGCTCCTACTATAAGTAATAGTAACGACAACCGATACATATTTGCAAAAATTAAAAAAAACACTCGCGTGTGTTCGCTGTCGAATGCGGTTACTATTTGATAAGAAAATTCGTACGTTCAGCTATTTATATGTCTCACATAGTTGAATTATTAGTACGAGTACTTTTGCAACCATTATATTTTCATAGAAGGCTGATTGCAAAAAGACAACTGTATCAAAACTTAACATGCGACTTGCATCTTTCGCTTCAAGGCTTACTTTCCTTTGCGGCAGTACCTCGTGTGGGGCTTTGGGTCATTATCGTACGCAGTCATCGTAGTACCAGCGTGTGATACAGATGTCCATAGTTTTTTCAGCTTTTTTAATGTATTACATCATATCCGTCAATGTCAAATTGTTTTGTCATTACAATACGACGTAAATATTTACCGTTTTATTTTATAATATGTTCAAATTTATATCCATGTGGGCAACCAAATGTATCGTAAATGTCATACGACAGTTGCAAGTATCTTAATAAACAGAACTGTAAAGTTATGCAGCCATACAAGGCCAAATAGATCATATAAATCTCGGAAGAAAATTTACTTAGATTGTTTATTATTGTATTTATGCTATTTTCATGAACAAACGTGAATCATTTTCATATTAAAAAAAAGTTTTAACACATACGTTGTGTTCATATATGTAGTCGATATATAGCACGTCTTTCTCGAATAGATATACTAAAACTTCGAATATGCAAGAGATTTGATGATGTAAAAGGAGCACACGTAGATCCAGTTTTAGATAATAGCATTCAACCGCAATGCCAAAAGCACCAACAAATTGAAGTAGTCACAAATTTTAAATTCAGTGGACAATGTATGACCGTTGTATAAAGGCTTGAGATAACCACAAATTTACCGAAAGAGAAATGCAAAAATTACATTTAATTTTGATTAAGATTTTAAACTGATTTGAATACTACGTTATTGCGAAATAATACACAATGTTTGAAAACTTTGTAAAAGTATTCAATGTAAAGGACTCACCGCAGTTATCGACACGGAATATCATTCAGTGTCTCTACCATGGGATTGGTTGGTGTAATTACAGGCACAAGGGACTTTTCTACTTATGTCTCAAGGTGACGGGCGCAGTGGCGGTGCCTCTCAGATGTTTGAGATTTAAAGCTCTGAGTGGCGCTGCAACTGTTATGGACAGGCTGTCGCTTACCGTCAGGTGCTCGACTTGTTCGTCCTGTCACCTAATATCACAAAAAAAAGATCACAGTAACAATTATCGCTAACGACCGCGTAAAATTTGTATACAAAATCTACAAGTACAACAAGTAGGCGGGTTGTTATATACGAGTATTTTGCCATACAAAATTGCGAAGTAATTTACGCGGTCGCTAGCGACAACTGTTAAACTCGTAGTAGAGGCACGACTCTACAGAAAAACCTTATGCCCATGAAAAGAAGAGTGAAACAGACGTAATTGAAGCGAAACGCGCAACGTCTAAAAAGATTTTTCTGCAAGGCTCAAGGAGATTTCACATTAAATTGCGCCGTAGATGTGTGCAGGTTTCTTCACGATGTGCACCTTCACTGATAAAGCTCATGGTAAATTTTAAATTAAATTACGCACATTTTGAAAACTTAGAAGTGCAAGTCCGTATTCGAACCCACGACCCTCTGCTTGAGGTCAAACCATTAGGCTACCAAAGCTGTGTGGTGATTTCTTGCTGGGCCTCTACTATGAGATTGCAGTGACAGTTATCGCTAGCGACCGCTTAAAATGTTTGTGTTCAAAATGTTGTTTCTTCTTATGATCACTAAGGGCGCAGTGTAATTTGCTATACAAAACTGTGAAGCAATTGACACGGTCGCTAGCGACAACTATCACAGTAAACTCATGGTAGAGGCACAGAGCATTTCTTTAAAGTTTTTCTAAATTGAATAGTTACATGCTGAAAATAGCATCAACTTTTATTGAAATTGAATGATATCTAAATATTAATTATGGATTTAAATTTAAATCAATGTTTCGAAATCCAGTTGTTAACAGATAGTGTTATAACTTAATGTCTAAAGATTAACCATCAGGTGGACAACCTGACATCCGTTTGTATATCATGAATATATGTATATACATATTTCTCGTTTCTCTTATTCAACATTTTCATCTTATCGAAATAAATGATACGTTGTAACAATGTAGTTAAATCGTAAAATTGTTTCTATACGTATGTTTACGATTTTATCTTGGTAGCGTAAAGATATTGAAAGATGGCAGCCAAGGCGGACGTAAGATTTTTTCTGTTCTGCTACCGTGCTTCCTACTATGTAAGCAATGATTTTAGACTATTAACGTAATAATAAAGATAATAACGAAAAGCTCTCCTAACATAATTGTAGCTCAGGTCACAGTCTGTTACCGAGTTGAGACCTTTTTTTCACCGGAGTATTCAAATTAATATTATATTCATAATAGCGAAAGTAACTCTGTTTTATTTTGTTGAGCTACATTTTCACGCCAAAACCTCTGAAACAATTTCTTCAAAAAAGGCAGATTATAGCTATTACTCTTTATTTTGATTACATATTTTTGAAGACTTAGTGCCGTGGTAGCCACTGGGCGTTCGGTTTGCCTTACCACTTCGCAAGCCATAGGTTTCAATCCGGGCTAGCACTTCTTGAGTTTCTCGGAATTTATGAGCGAAATACAATTTGAAATTTACCACGAGCTTTTCGGTGATGGAAAACATCGTAATAAAACCCGCATGTCAAAGAAGATTCACAACCCTCAGAAAACGTGTGAAGTTCCCACCCGCTTTGGGCCAGCGTGGCGAACTATGGCCTAAACCCTCGCTTGAGAGGAGACCCGTGCCCAGCAGTGGGATGTATAAATGGGTTGATGACGATGATAAGGCTAGTCGAAGTACTTGTTCTACGCAGTCGAAGTTGCGGGTACCAGCTAGTGTTTTTATATAATAATAATAACGCACACACACTCAAAATAGCCCCGCACTAGGGAAACCCTGTATCGCGGGTGCCATGGACACACACATAGACAACCACAAATTACGCCCAAATTCACGAGAGAAATAAATGTAGGCCATAAAAATATTTATCCTGTCACGGGAACAGACCCGGGAGCTCTGCGTGGCAGTCCGGCATGGTAACCGTTCGGCCACAGAGGCAGTTCAGGCGGTAGGAGGCATACGCACTATAAGTTTGCAGAATTAATAAGAAGAAAATACTATAAATGGTCAGAAATGAAATTATTGTTTCTCAAAATATTCTCCGTTAGCGTTAATGCACTTTTCCTTACGAATGAACCTATTTTGAAAACAGCCTCTTCAGGTGATGAAAATCATTGACCGCGTAACTGGTTCTTAATTTTTGGAAATAAACAAAAGTCACAAGGTGCCAGGTCGGGACTGTACGCGAGAGATGGCTCATAAGGTCAACGTTGTTCACTTTAAAACATTCATTTGTCTGTCTGGCTGTGTGAGAACAGGCATTATCGTGGTGCAAGATAATACGGCGTGTACGGTTATTTTTACGGAGTTTGTCAATAACTTTCGGCAAACAAATGGTACGCTACAACGATTCTCCAAAGCAACAGTAGCCATGTGTCCAGTTTTATTAAATAAACAAGCAATCATTCGCTTATTGGCACTTTGCACGCACGCCACTTTGGTTGGTTTCGGCTCATCTCGAAAGACCCATACGCTCGATTGCTGCTTTGTCCATGTTTCGTCACGTTACTATGTCCCACACCAAATTTGACGCCCCTTCATTGAACCTGGTAAGCAAGGCATTGCACCAAATGTAACTATAAATCCATGTTTCATCACCTGATACTACGTCTCCCACCAAATTAGACGCGCCTTCGTTGAATCTGGTAAGCATGGAATTGTGACGCGATGTGTTTTGAGCCTCAGTCAAATTGTATGGGATCCACCGAGAGCATAGATTTTTCACACCCAAATGTTTGTGTAGTACTGATTGTATTTGACTCATGCCTTTGTCTAAAGATGCCCGAATCTCATGGTATGTCATATGCCTGTCTGTTTTCATCATACGGCGCAGAGCATCGATGTTTTGTTGTTCACAGCAGTGGATGAGCGATCATCACGAAATTCGTCACTGAGATTCACACGACCGCGTCAGAATTCTGCAAACTAGCTATAAATAGTCGTCTTGCATGGTGCTTCATCGCCAAAAGCAGTTTGAAGCCGAGCGAAGCTCCCTTGAGCTGTTAAATTATACTGAAAATCGTAGAAAATCATACTACGAAAATTTTCACGAGTTGAATCCATGGTGATGTATACAACCAATTTCTAAAATGACGTCATAATGTGAAAACAAGTGACAGTCAGATGAAATAAACTGTATTCTGCAGCCAAAGAGTTCCATTTTCAAATGGTGTAATTACTTTTTAAATATTGTTTAAGAAGTGGCCAGTTCCGGAAACTTATAATGTGCCCTATGTATGACTTAAGCGCCCTGTGAGCTTTCAAAAAAAAGTCAAATAATCGACATGCATAATGTGTTTGATGGAAATCTAGATTGATAACGTTTTTGATGAACAAAGAAAGTTAGAATAGTCTTGATGTTCGTACGCAATATTTCTTTTAACAAATTTTCGTGAGTATTTTTTCCTTTTCATTTCAATCATTCTCTAGACCAACGTATGTCCTTTTTTCTTAAAACATAATGGTAGAGATAATGGCAGAAACGCTTTGTCTGTATTAATACTCAGTGTAGTACAGTACGACCACGCGGCTATACAATGAGATAGCCGAGTCTGAACTTTTTTGCAATGCCAAGTGACAGGACGAACACGTCATGCGCCGAACAGTTGTAATGTCACTTTTTGATTTGTACGTTGTTTGAAGAAAACGAGAAGTTTGAAGGGTAAATTTGACAAGCAAATTGAATCATTTATAGTGCGTTTTATAAGAAGCTTCACGCTTTTATTCTAAAGTTTTTTAGCAGATCTTTAATATATAAAATGTTTGTTAGTGTTATGTTTATTTAGTTATAGTGTTACATTTATGATGTTATAGTTATGATGAGGTGAAGATGTGTGTCTGATGGGAAACGGGCGTGGCGTATGTGTGTTTATGACCATTAAAATTTACATATATTTATTTGCCTAATATGTTTATGCTTTTTGTTGGTAACACGCTATTGATATGAATGAAAAATTATGAGATTTAATGGCCTCAGTGACCCAACGGTTAAGGAGGTCCCATGTTTGCTTTCCGGTAGGACCAATTTTGAAAATAGGATGTGGTTGCCTGGCACATTGTTAATATTAAATGTTTCACATAGAACAAACGGCTTTATGAATCGCTTATAGTCTCATAAATTACTTTATCCTACCAACTCGATGTTGTCGATGTCACGTAGAGATTGCAATCTAATAAGAACGCGTGTTGTACCTACCACTTTTTTTTGTATATTGTTGTTTTGTGCAATGTTTTGTTGTTGTTGTTATAAGATTTAAATTCCTATGTCCAACATTATACTCCTTGTAGCATGGTGGAAGTTGAAAATACCTCGACTGTAATTTATTAGGATTCTAATAACAAAAAATCGACGTAAAAATGTTCACAATACATAATATATTGATTTGTTTTTCAGTCACCACGTAACCATGGCCAGTTTAACCTGGCCGAATTGTCAAAATAAAAAGTAGGCGGGCAAATGCCTTAGTATATTTTTTATTTCGTTTTGTTTGTCCTCATTTTGTAATATTAGTAAATATATGGAAATTTAAATAAAATTATACATACCAAGTTTTGCAGGAAATACTACAAATTATTAATATTAATTTGCTAGATCATACCAGTGCTCTTGGAAATTAGGAAATCCCAGTGCTATGATGACAAGAACAATAGGTTTTAGTAGCAGGAGAGCTCCTTGTGAAAAAAATCGTCCAGGAAAGTACTAAATGACAGCATTACTGTGTTACGGTTTTGAAGGGCAAGGGTGTGAAGGGGGTGAAGTTACAGGCACCTGGGACTTTTCAACTTATGTTTCAGGGCGACGGGCGCAGTGGCAGTGCCCCTAAGATCTTTGCGGTTTAAAGCTTTGGGGGGCACTACAACTGTTATGGACTGGCGTGACCTTTACCACCAGATGCGCACGAATAGTTCATCGCATCACTTGTTATCATGAAAGAAATAACGAAATGACCTCCTGGTGCATTAGAAAATTTAGAAAAGTTTTATCCTTAATCTTATCGGGAATCAAACTCCTCATTAGCATACGGACAACTGAGCTACGGACAAACGACCCAGTTCGTCAAATTGTTGAAAATAGTTGAACTGTTACGTTTTCGGCACGTTTTTTTTCTAATTAACTAAAATGCTCTGGGTGTGTTTAAATTGCTTTTTACGATTATGTTGAGTGTTCCAAAAAAAACCAAAAACATGATATGCTCGTGTGGTTTGTGATGGACATAGTGAATGCTTAATAAAGAAAAGATGTAATTAGACCATTTTTTTTGTTAAATTTTACTTTCGGTTCGAGTAAAAGTAGAAACGGCGGAATTAAAAGATTTTTAGATAAGTGTTCAACGTAAAAATTTCTTTGAGATTAATTTGGACGGGGTAAGACTTTTTTTATAATGATTCTAATGTCGATAATTTATCAATAGTAAATCCTATAGTTGACATTTTCCTTTACAATTTATCATTAATTTTCTATAGAGACAACATGTGACGTCACGAAGCCCCTAAAAGAAAGTGAGCATGCTCGTGCACTTGCTACTAGCAGTCGAGCTAGGGCCGTGATGTGACACTGTCAATTGACCTTCTATCGAACCGATTCATATGATTTTGAAGGACGAATTTGGTAACAAAGAATGAATGAATGGATATTTTTTATTACACATAAAAAATAATTACATTAATTCATTTGTACCAAAAGTAATATTGGATTCGCACTAAGATTATTAATTAGTATGAAATTTAAACGTTTTATTTTATTTTTTACAGTTTCATTCTTTAAAAGCATGAAATGTATATACAAGATAATTATAATCAATATTAAAAAGTAATGTAACATAAAAAAACATAATCTTGAAACAAGTTCATAGGTTTTCGCCAAAGTCAAATAATCATTTAATGATTCCATAGGTATAATTTTTACACTTGAAAACGTCATTTTTGACTTTCCTTTTCTTTTCAAATCAACTCAAATGCTATGGAATACTATTATTAGCAGGAAGTATATTATTATTTATTTTACACTCTAGCCATGACCTAAAAGATAAATATTATTATTATTATTTTTGATATCTATTTTAAATTATCGCGTCTCCCAAGGCCTAAAAGATTAATTTTGGATTTTTAAATGGGAGAGTCGGTATTCCCCGGCAATTATTATTATTAAGTTTTGAACTTAGGAAATGATAATTTTAATATATGTTCCGGAATCGTATTGTAAAAACGTATACAGTTAATTATAAAAGAATCGTTCACCTTAGTTAAACAAAATCGTGGTAATAAAAACATTGAAAATGAAGCTATTTTTGGATCTATATCGCATATATCTGCTTTTCGAACAGACCAAGGTTTCGGGCTCTTTACAGGCCCTACGGCGACGAACTCACTTGTCAGCCAATCGTAACCATTGGTACTTATTAACCCATTGGTAATGTCTTTTTACGTAGTGGTATATTTTCCAGTAATATGAAGCCTGACATTAAGTTTGGATTCTATGATGTATTGTTTTTCTAATGGGGCTGATATTTTTTTTATAATGTCAGGTGATAGGACGAATAAGTCGTGCGCGTGGTGGCAGGCGACACACCTATCAATGATAGTTGCAGTACCACTCAGAGCTTTAAATAGCAAAGACCTTAGGGGCACTGCCACTGCGCCTGTCACCCCGAGACATAAGTTGACAAGTTCCATGCGCGTGTAATTTCACCAGCACCCTTACCCTTCCAAACCGGAACGCAATAATGCTCACATTACTGCTTGGCGGTAGACATAGGTAAGGTGGCAGTACTTCCCTGGACGAACTCTTTCACTAGAAGCTCTACTGCTACTAAAATGTTCAATAATGATCAAAACTCTTAAATAAAAATTGACTTAAAAAAAGTTTGACACTTTGGAATTTGCCATTTACCATTCTTACCGCAACTGACATAAGGTTGAATTTCCAGGTTCAAGGTACTATCCTTTGAGTCTATTAATACTTGAATAAGAATAAATTTACATATTTGTGAAATCTGGTAACGGCATTGACTGGCAGACGTTAGTAATTATATTTTATTCGTTCGTAGCTTGTTTTTTTAAGATGTTTAAAAGTTAGGTTCACCAGGTGATGAGGAAACGGTGGTAGTCAAATGGAAACACGGTTGCTTTTGAAGTATCTATATATGACTTTGATTTTATTTACGTACATTTATGAATGTTTGGCTCGCTAATAATGAAGGAAAACATTATGATGATACATGGCATGTCGAAGAAAGCTCACAACTTTTGGAAAATGTGTAATGTCCCTAACCCGATTGGGCTATTGCGACAGACTATCTACGTAGGCTAATCTCTCTACGTAGAGTAGTTTGATCTGTGTACGTAGAATGGGACGTAAAATAGGCTGACTATGGTAAGAAGTGGTTACTGCCTCCTATGTTATTATACAACACTAGAATAATTTGACGATTACTTCATAAGTAATTGTATTTAATTAGTTTGTTATTGATTAATTATTGATACATAAATTGATTTATTTTTAAAATACTTTAAATTTAAATTTGACAATAATTTTAAAATTAAACCATTTGACTTTCTGAATGAATTTGTTTAAATTTATTTATTTTCATTGTAGTAACATTATAATTAATAATGTATAGGTACGTTAAAATTGACATTGCTGCGCCCTTACAGGGTACATGTTTGATGCTTTACCAACTACTATAAGATCTACAATGTAACAACATGTTTTGCAACAAACGATATTATTATTATTGAGAACATTGCAATATTAAGATAAAATCCTCAAATTCCGAATATTCCAGTGTTTATTTGCGAGTGAAATGTGTTTATAAGATGCACCACTAATTATAAAGAGAGCGCAATTTAAATTCCATTTTCTTTCATTGAAATCATTCAATGTTTTCATACATAAATCTTATAATTGAAAAAAGTTTATTATTGTACGTGACTGTAACTACCAAGGCGGGTTTTGCACGGACACCAGAACTAGCAGTAAAGACGTGAAAAAATTCGAGCCATATAAATTCTTTACTCACCTTTCAACATTGCAGCCATAGCAATGATAGGTCCTAAGTTGCTTTTCTTTCCTCCCATGCGCTTCCTAGCTCCATTTACATCACTCCTAGCTTCCGCTGCACTTGTGTCATCCAGCAATCGTAATTTCACTGAATGAGTATCCAGAAACGACTCCAGAAGGTACAAGAGAAATTTATCAAGTCTCTCTTCGGGTTCTGACGGAAGAGATCTAGCCAATTCGGCAGCAACAGTCTCAGTTTTTCCATCTTCACGATCTTTGACAAGGGTTACCCCAGGTAAGAGAGTTAGTTCTTTATTTTTATTAAGCCTTTCTATCAACTTGATAACTCCAATTTTGAAACACGTAGGGTTAAAGATTCCTTGATCACAATTTTTTTTCACTTTTATAGTTTTATCTACTGAAGGTTCTATTACATCTTCTTGAATACTTGGTAACGCGAGGACACAAGTTAAACTTGTGATTAAGAAAATTCTGATCATTTTGCAGAGATCACACGTCCACTATGTTCAATTTTTGTTTGATCTACGTAATTTTATGTGTTGTCACTCTATTTATATTTGCGTTTTTGGTGTGTTGATTATTATTGGGTGGCACGTGTTTAAATCATTCTTCTTGGTGATCAAGTCACATTTATTTACTATTTTCAAAATCCCTTAACGATTCTTCATCACCTTTGTTCTATACATCATAAGATCCACATTCTCTCGCACGTATATAGTAATATTGTTGATCAAGTGAAAAGTTTATTTTGTTTTCACAACATCTGCGTAGGGTCGTTAGTAAATCGAGTTAGCTGAATTTCATATCATCCAACCAAATTTGGTTGTTAGTTATAAATGCATCTAGGTTCAATTTTGTGTGCAGTTTGAGCATGTCATGTCAAGCTGTTGTTTTATTTACAAAACATGCTGAACTAATTGAATCGGAACAGGCAATCTGCTTGACTTTAAGTACATTAAATTTCTTGGGCCATTTTGCACCATTTGCCTGGTGTACAAATGGTCTACCTGGAGAAACTTGTCTTTTATAGTTTTTTATTATTAAATTTAACAAGATGTGATTTTCACTACCAGCTCTTCTATTATTAGAGAGAAACGAAATTAAAATAAGTAGAAAGGAGAAGGATCACTGCCTATAGAAAATTAATCCAGCCCCGGCGCAAAAGCAATCTTAGATAGATTGCTTTTGCGCACTTTTTTAGAACTTTGGTTATACTATAGGTAAGTTTTAGCAGTGTAAGAGCTCCTTGTGAAAGAGTTTGTCCCGGGAAATACTGCCACCTTACCTATTTCTGCCGCCAAGCTGTAATGTTAGCATTACTGCGTTCCGGTTTTGAAGGGTAAGGGTGCTGGTGAAATTACAGGCACATGGGACTTATCAACTTATGTCTCAGGGTGACGGGCGCAGTGGCAGTGCCCCTCAGACCTTTGCGATTTAAAGATCTGAATGGTACTGCAACTGTTATGGACAGGCGTGTAGCTTGCCATCAGGCGCACGACTTGTTCGTCCCGTTACTTCATACTGTCAATTATATATTAAAAAAAAACCCCTGTACATACATACTTTTTGTTTTAGATATCTGTGACTAACATATCAGTACTGTCCTTTTTGCTCAGGCGCATATAGTTAGGTAACGTATGTTCACGTATAAACAAATTATAATTAATTATCTACGATTAATAATGCACCCAATGCCACACAATTTTTGCCGATTAAGAAGTTAAAAACATAAAAGTTACCATCAACAACATTTCAGTTAAAGATCTCCGCTGCTAGACACAGGCTTCCGCCAAAGATCGCCACAACGACCGGCCTTGCGCTGCTTGCATCCAGCGGATTATATTAAGATATATTTGTTATTCAGCTAAAATCTAGTTGGAAAGGCAGTTGGGTCTCAATAGAGTGACAGTGGAATAGCAGTGATGGCATCCATTCATTCCATCACTAACGATTGATGTTGATTTACCCTGGAAAATATAATGCATATTTTCATCTTGTTTATTATTATGATTCTCAGCAATTTAGTAATCAAATTAAATGATTTTTTTGTGTGAAATAGTTAGTAGACGATGCCATCGACTCCTGACTGAGGAACGAATAAAGAAAAATTGCAATGGCATATCGAGTTCTTAGGTTTTCGCGTTTGTTACACATAGGAAATGATACTATTTTTACATCGCGTGTATTTGTTTTTTCAAACAAACCAACGTTTCGGGCCCTTTACAGGTCCCATGGTCACGGTTGACTGAGGTGGTACAGTCATCAACCAGTTATGTCTAATATTAATGCAAGCCACCCCATTTTTTTCCCTATAGTTACAACCACAAAGGGTTCAGGTACACAAATTTCAGCCAGTATTACAGTTTTGTGTCTATGGATATTTAGGTACCCACAGACCAAAATCTTCGCTAAGAAGCTTTCGGTTTACCTCATTAGTCGAACTTCCGCCAAAATGCTTTTTAATGACGAGGAAAGATTGTCTTTCTCCGATTAAGGAGAAAGGGTTAAACACATTTACTATTTATTATAAACTCATTTAAGTAACTTTCAATAAATAATCACCAATGACTAAACTGTATTTCATAATCTTCTGACGTTGCTTATTTAACACTTTTCATTCTACGGGTATTTCGAAATTTTCTATGCGTTCACGTAATCGTGACTAGATAAGACTTTTTGTTAGGTATTTTTTAGCATGTTCAGTTAGAATCACAGGCACTGGACATGAATACGTACCTACGTGACCTATACTTCACACCCAGAGATGGGCAGTGGATTATAACTCAATCAACTTGCCCGGGGTTCAACCTAAATTTTACACAAAGTGCCGGTTTTAACCTATTTGTACCCAAAAAATGAGCGGAAACGGCGAATACGAAATTTGGTATAATTCCGTACTTATTACAAATTTCGATGTAATAGGACAATTGCTAAACAAAATTTTATTATTTTTCTAGGCACATTAATATTAGTCTGCTGAACTTCTGATGATGTGTTTGAATGTGTATATCATTATCACTCTTCTTACTGGAACTCAGTTTTCGCGACCGAAATACAAAAAGACCTAAAAACTAAAGAATACATAAACACTTTAGTTTAAATGTTACTGCCATTTTCTTTTTTTAAGTAAGCCCTAGAGGTAGGTATTTTTAATTCTCGTAACTATGAACACTGGGCAGTTGGCTGTATGAGTTTTTCTTTTGCCTGTTTACATAGTTCATTATTAGTAGGTAGATTTAAAAGTTTAGAGAAGTGGACAGTAATGGATTTTCATACTTTGCAGGCCTTGGCCGGGAAGAAGTCGCACGATCCATAAATGACAAACATCCCATGTTCGTTTTTTGAAAGTAATTAAAAATTAAAACATTTTCGAACAAGTTTGAGAAAAAAAAAATTTTTTTAGACGAAAAAGAGGCAACTCTACACATTACCTGCAAGTCTGTGGATTGTCACTACAAAGAATGCACATTAGGATTAAGTTTTTATGAAAATCGATTCAAGTGCATACGATCCAGCGATCATTTTGTATCGATATATTTCAATGCAATTTTCAAACGAATCGACTCAATAGAAAGTCAAATCGAATCGTCTAGATTAGAAAGCAATAAACATTTTGTAATAATCTCATGAAATTTGACAAATGCAAATAGTTTTTGCCCTCGATTTTGGGCATTACTGGGTTTTAATACGATTTATACCCGATGTTAACGAAAGTACTGGCTCAAAACCCGGATACTTGCACATCTCTGTTTACACCCTTTTCCTTGATGTAAAATTTTATCTTGATTTTTACCATTCTTGACAAATTTAATTTGTAACTTGTGACATTCTTATTGTCGTAGTAGTCAATTGCCATTGCATGACTAGATATTTGCATGCTGTTTAATATATGCGATGTTTGTACTGGCACAGTATCTTGTTCCATCTTCTGTTATACCATGTTTTAAGCAATTATTAATAAACGAATTGTAATTATTTCCATCGATGATGACCGGACAACAGCCTTCCACTTGCTACGATCCTGATTCACATCTTTCGCCTCATCAACACGCATCTATGCCTTCATATTATTGTATTCTCGTGACCTTTCTTCTTTTGACCTGGCCTTTCTTTAGGACGTCCTCGACTTGCTCATGGTAAGTTCGCCTTGGTCGGCCATGTCAACTTGATCGCTCACATTGCCTTATAAATCTGTTTCGTCAATGTTCTTTCATTCATTCCCTCTACATGTCAGAATCGTCTAAACGTCCCATTCTCTATGTTTGTCACTATATCTTCCTCCACGCCAACCGAAACCGCTGTCTTACCGTACTGTTAAGAGTTGGTACTACCTCAAAAGGCTTTGGTTGAGTCCGCATACCAGTGAAAGCGTTAAATGATTAGTATACGGTGTGAAAACAGGATTCCTAAAAACTTACTTGATAGAAAAAAAAACACAAAGTTACCTGGAAATTTTATAAGCAAACCGCTATATTCGATAGGTACTTTACATATCGCACTGCTGTTACAATAGTGTTGTAACTCAAAATACATGAAATTCAAGATTATCCAATTACTGAACGTAAACTTTGATTCTCTACACGTTAGCAAAACCGTCGTAAGAATATTGTAAAAAATAATTAAAACATATCTTAACTTAACTCAAAATGAGACAAATTTTATGTGAGCTAGTTCTGAATGAAAAAAAAAACAAAACAGTCAAAAATATGAAATGATTTTTTTCCTTTTATTTTTAAATACATTGGCAAATAGGAAATTGTTAAGATGTTTGTAATAAACTAACCTTAACCTGTACATAAATTTTAATAATCTTTGACGAGAATTGAGTAAGATTCCTTTTTCATCAATTCTGACACAATACACTGTTTGAGTTAATACACTATTGTATAGACAGTGCGATATACCAGAGATTTTTTTAATGTCAACTGAACTAAATAGAACACATATGTATACACGTATACGATACACATTATTAGAATGGCTTTAATTTCTTTTGTAAAAAAAATAATTTTGAAGTAAAGCCAGTGGCCTCTGCCGCTTGACCCGCGCAATAGAACCGATTCAGCACGGGAAAAATATCAATTCGAGCTGAGGTAGTATCAACTCCACACATAAAGCACTATTATATACTTATCATTTCATAAACAAAATACCCTTCTTTTTGACTGATAATGCGCAGATAACCACCCAATTATATGCTCTCAAACTAGAATACTATGATATCCAGATTTTAAATTTTTTTTCAATACCAAGTGACAGGACGAACAAGTCGTGCATAAAGTACAAGCATGGTAAGCGACACGTCTATCCATGACAGTTGCAATGCTGTTTAGAGCCTTAAATTACACATATCTGAAGGGCCTCTGCGTTCATCAGCCCTTAATCCTCTTACCAAAGCCGGAACAGGTGGCAGTACCCTCCTGGACGAACTCTTTCACAAGGAGCTCTACTGCTGCTAAATTGACTCTGGCACCAACAA